CAAAAACCAAAAACCAAAAACCAAAAACCAAAAACCAAAAACAAAAGACAAAAAAAAGCAAGGTCCGCTAGTGATAAGAATCTTCCTAAAAAGAGAGTACAAATGCAGACAATGTAAAGCCTAAATGCAGACAACTTGCACTAACAGGTCAGATGGCCCTACCCCCTTGAGCAGCTGTGTCAAAATGTAAACCAGAAATGAATAAAGCATCTGAACATTTGTAAGAGGGCGAAGTTTCAGTTCAAAATGTTGAATACTGAATTGTATGAGAAAAGTGCTGGCTGGTAAACACTTGCCAGCCAGAGTATTTTCCCAAACTAATCTTTATCTGAACATTCAATTTGTTCATTTAATGCTATTTTCGTGTTTCGCATGTTGTGAGCGGTAACTCCGCATCCATAACATGTTTTTTTTCGTTTCTGTTCTTTATTTTGACTAGCTACTTCATGAAGGTAGCATAGGGTCATGTGAGCAGTTGGTTTAAGTCGTGCATAAATGGTGCAACCATTAACTAAACGCGCTGGTGACATTGACTGGAGGTTTTTTTTGCTCGAAAAACAAGACTGGTGGTGGTCCTATCCTTTGCTACTACTACTGATGGTTCAATGATGATGATAATGAATATGGATGATTAGAATAACGAAGTTTTCTGATCTTAGAGCCCACTTGAGCCCACTATTTTCGTTATAAACTAAGGTATCCAAAAATTTCAAGACTTGAGATTTGTAACGATGCATAGTTTATGCATTATTTTCATTTAGGCAATTTGCCATCGATTTTCAAAACGTTCAATCCAGGAACATTGTAAATTCAAGTCCTGTTGCTGCTTCAAGAAGCTTTTAATTACCTCCTTTTTAGACCAATATGATAACTAGCTGTCGTTTTTCATATAAAAAAAGAATCAATTTCCTTCTCATTTATGATTCATTCCCTTGCGTGTGCTTTTTCTTGTTATATAATTTCATGTATTTTGCTTTGTACTTTATTAAATTAATTTCAGTTTGACATTGCAATTTAGCTCGATAAGCTATTTCTAAATGACGCCTATCCACATATTTCCCCCCTCTTCACTAGTTTAAATTATTAATAATGTAATTTGGAGAAGTGCCAAAGATGTCGTTGTTGCTATAGACCTTTTTACTTATACGGCGTCCATCTTGAATTCTGGGAAGCCGAAGGGGCAAACATAGAAAATGTATTAAGCTTAGGGTGGTGCGCGGTGTTACGTTTTTTTAAAAATTGAATTTTTTTAAAAAAGTTCAATTAGTTTCGATGTGCTTCTCGTTGAAAAGTGTAAAATGGGAGAAAAAGACACCCTGGGTGCTGTGCAGTCCATAACTTTATCAACAGTTGACCCTGCGGCATCCCATAATGTTTCTTTTAGGACAATATAATTCAAGATGGCCGCAGTATTGGTAAAAAGGTCTATGGTTTTAGGGAACAATGGTAATTAGGAGCATTTATTTTCAGGGAGCAAGGGAACAAATGTGTGAGGAATCATATTTTTGAGGAAAAAATTGACAAACTTTGGAATTCGACTCATAGGGAGCGAGAGAACAAACAGAAAAAATACTGGGGAACAAAGGAACTTTGACCTGGAAGGGGCTCTATTAACAAAGGATTAAATTGTTGCTTTTCTTTTTATATACATAACTCGGCAAACCTTTGCTCCAGTCATCTTTCATGCAGAATGCACAACATCTGTCTTCTACTCTCTTGACGTCAAAACACGTGGTTTTCCTGCATCGCAAAGACGAACATTTCGGCCGACCATTAGAATTGCAGACGCATACCTCGCATGCGAAATCTCCTCGTGTCCAGATCTCGCCGGGTCGATAATTTTTTTTGTTTACCGGGTCAAAACAGCCCCTGATTTCTGTTGAGAAAACMCCTTCAATTAATTTAGGACGAACACATGGACATATATCTTTCAGCTTAGACAGATTTTTTCCGTACATGCAATTAAAACAATCGTCTTTATTTTACTAGACGAGAGTATCACCATAGTTACAGCTAATTCAAGTCATCATGCGTGTCCACTATCTCTCATGTTTTGATTGCACTTTCGATGGCTTTGTCTGAAATTCTAAGGCTAGGCGCCAACATTGCTCAAAAGTCTGGCAATCAAAAATTCAAAATTCAAAAAAACAAAAACATAAGATTTTCAAGCTAATTCTCAGCAATGTGGTTTTGAAGTGAATTCTTTTTAACATTTTTTCGCAATCCCCCCATGACAGCGGGTTTAAAACCTAATTTTTAATTACAGACAGACAGACAGATAATGCAGCCAATGCAGCTTAGTTTCAACTCAAAACACTACAAAAAAGCATATAAGCCTTTGTGCTTGAGATACGAGAAAATGCTAACAGGAGTCAATACTTAGATGCTTCACCTTTTTCACATCTGCATGAACGACGCTTTTCGATTCCAACTTCAAACCCTAAAGATTCTTCAACTTGCACACATCGGAGACCTTTACCACAGACTTGTTCTTGATATGCTTCGGGATCGTCACGACATTTATGTCCAATGGTCGTCACGCATATGTCACAGCATCCACAATGATCTTTGACGATTTTCCCCCTACAGACCCCTAAAGGGGGGCACTTAGAAACAGGCTCTCGGGTACAGTTTTGGCCATTTTTGCATTTTAAGACAGCACATGGCTCACATGTTGGATCTATATTTTGTGCAACTGCATTGAAAAGGACACAGCTGACCAAAAAGAACGATGTTGCTAGGACAAATAGAGCACTCATCTGTGGGGAAAATCAAAGGAAATATAAAAAATAATTCCAACCTTGCCGCGCTAGAACTTTATGACTGAAGATCGATATCTGATTGACAAGGTATTTATATATAATTATTGGATAAGATTTGAACATCATTTACCCATACCTAGCGTAAATGACCAAGATCAATGCTGTGTTGTCAATCCGAGGTCTTGGTATTTTAATATACATTTTGTAAAGAAAAGAGAAAAAAAACATTTCGATCGACCGCTGTTGTGAATTCAGTACTGAAATAAGGCGGAGCAAGTGCGTTAAGGCATTTAAATACCATAACCAGATCACGAAAAACAAGTGAATTATTTACTGATAGCCAACCAAGCTTGTTTATATAACTGGAGAAATATGATCAAACGTTTTAGTGTTGGTTAAAATGCGCGCGGCAATGAGTTTCGTATTAACTGTATTATGAATATTGCGCTTTGTGGTACCAGCCCACACTGACGAACAGTAGGAGAGTTTGCTTAAATACAAGAGATTTTGTATGAGAAAAAGTGTTTTCTTATCAAACAGATGTCTACATTATTTATCTGGCAAAGATAAGATAGTAAAGATGACTTTAAGGACTCAATATGACAATTAAAACTCATAGCAGAGTCAAAAACTATTTCTTGTAGGTCTTTACAAGATGAAACGGGTGTAAGATTATTTCCTAGGAAGGTCAACTGAAAATTAGAAATATTATTCGAGTACGAATGTACTCCAAAAAGTATCAGTTTTGATTTTTCACGGTTAATCAAAAGTTTGTTTAGACAGCACCAGGCAGCAACTTAATGAAAGTCTTCAGATAGCTTGGTCAATCCATAGCCGGGGTTTGAAGAGCTAAGCGAAATGCGAATCGTAATGATGACGTGTGGAGAGACGGGACGGCCATTTAAAGTGGTCATCCGAGCCACTCGAAAGTCTAACCATTTGCAGATGTAATAACAAAGGCACCTACTTTCTCCTCAGTTATTAGAAGACCCCGAGCGTTGGTCCGATTCTTGTACAACAGTGTAATTCTCAACCAACTGAGCCAGCCTGCTAAAATTTAAAAGAAGCTCATCAGTATTTCTAACCAACTTATAGTTATTTATTTTTGTTTTTTGAAACTATTAGGACCATACCTCCAGACGTAGTGCCGAAGCGCAGTATGGCAGCGCGAAGCATTTACGGCTATGCCGGAGATCTCGGCCCCGACACCGCTATCCATAATGACTGATCAGGGAGCTCGCCCGAAGCCTAAGGGAGAGGTTAGTCGGCCCCTAAACTATGAACAGTGACTGATATTATTTTTCTTCTGACTAACCTCCTACACTCGCTTTTTGCCATGTGGGAGCTATTTTTTGAAGTTAATGCGACGCTTGACGCAAAAGTTAGACATGCGCATACGACATATAACTAGTAATCTTACTTCAATAAAAGATGAGCGTGAGAATCAGGCGTGAAGAATTAACCCAAATCTGATAATAAAACCACTAAAGAATACATTGAGGGAAAATTTTCATGTCGGCTTCATATAGCGTTTTATATTGCTACGTTCCTTCTCTTTTTTTAATTGTCTTACTTGTTTATTTACCTACCTATTATTTGTCTAACATTTTCTTTTTATCTTGAACGTCCGGTGACTCGAATCGGGTACCTGTGGTGTGTTATTCTAGAGTCTTACCAACTAAGCCAGCTAAAACTTTTACAAAATGATTAAGTCTAAGAAGTTTACAATCTTAATTTCTTTTACAATTTGATTTACCTGAGTAAAGTTATTTTGTATCGTCATTAATTTGGACATTGAATGTGCCGTTAACAAACTTTCCCTGTTGGAAACATTAAACGCTGTTCCACACTTTCAGTTTGCTCTTACCTACAGATAAGGGATTAGTTCCCATAGATTCATCACTATTTATTCTTGTACTAGTGCCATGAGCGAAATACCTCCATACACCATTTATCTTTGTATTGAGTTGATTTCTAGTGCATTACCAACTAAGCTAATGATGAATTCGTTGACAGTATTGGGTTGATTTCATATTTTAAATGTTTTTCTCATAGGTTGATCACTAATTATTTGTTAAAAAGTTCAAAATCTAAACATTGCTAAATCGGCTTCTACTTTTATAATTATTGCATTGTAGTACAAGTTAATTTTACCGTTTTTGAAAGTGTTTCCTTCGAAATCGTAGAGGTACCCGAGGTGGTGCTCTGTACTCCGAGAAGCTTGCTATTAATCTATTATATAGCTGCTTTAGGCAATAAGCAAATTCATTCTCTCCCAGGGGGCTTATAAAGTACAAAGTGAAGTGTTTGGTACCACTTTCAAATCGACATAATAAGACTAATGAATTATTGTTTTCAGATTTCAATGATTCATCGTTCGGAACAATTACAGTAAAAATTAATGTTATATATTTTTTATAAGTTATTCATTATAAATTTGTTCGAGAAGCCAGATCAAAAACTCGTGCTTCGTGTTTCATCAGGACCTCGAAACATATGATCAGTTTCTCGATATTTGGATCCCCTGATGAAACACTCGCACTCGTTTTTGATCTAATACATTTAGATTTGTAAATATATCAGATTTACAGTCTCATGCATTGATTGATTCCAGTAGCTCAATGTACCCTGTTTGAGGGTCTTGTTATATTCTTTTCACCTTCATTTATATTCTGATTACTCCTGAAAAATTATTCGATCTATTTGTGTGGTGTAAAAATAAGTAAGGGTTATTGGACTTATTTTTTACGGTGGCGAAGTATTTTTAGGAAGTAAACTTGTTTGAGAAACAAAAATGTTCTCCACATTTAACTTTTAAGCAAAATCAAAAATTGTTCTTGAGTGTCCAACAATATTTGGCAGACACCAAAAGATTTAGAGTAAAGAACGGTTAATCGATTTTGTAGATATATTTTCTTTTCCGTTGTACTTTTTCTATAGATATATATATATGCTTTCCTTTCTTATCATTACATGTAATCTCCCGCGATATAGTCTCCATTGTACTTTTCTATATATATTTGTTTTTTGTTAATATGTTAAACTTTTTTTTTCCTTTTTCCTAAAACTCCAGAAACCTTGTAACTACTGTTAACTGTGTAATCTCCCACGATGAGACTAGCTCTTGGAGAGAACACAGAGAGTAAATATGTTTAATTAAAAAAATAATATAAAACAAAATTGCTAAAATCCTTTATCCATTGAACGTGAAACAAAAGAAGCACAACTAATTGCTAGAATAAATGGATTCGAGTTTGCAATGTCATGTGTTCGCACGCATCGTCTTCAAAATAAATGCAAAAGGCGACTCGGATCCAGATTATCTATGGAAGATGCAGAAAAGGTGTTCAGTTTGGAGGAATGGTAAAAGCTAGACAGGCATGGAATAGCCATTGCGTGCGACTAAGAAATCGAGAAGCAAAAGGAGACGTGTATAAATTTCTTGACATTTCCTAAGACAAATCTGAAGTTGACCAAATAAATATAAATCTTATACTCATTAACTATTCATGAGCTCATCGACCAACCAGGGTTTCTTATTTGTACTACGTGCAGTAGATTGAAACCCCCATCAAATACGACCGCACCCATTTCAAAGCTAGCACTAGAACTTTGAAATTAAAACAAACATAAAAAAAGAATATAAGATGTCGTGTCAAATACTCGTCACTGTATTCTATTGGGGGCTTCAAAATCCGAAAAAGAGTATAAGATGTCTTGTCAAATACTCTTCAGTGTATTCTATTTGGATTTTATTGGATCTTGGAGGGGTTTCACTTAATGTTGGATATGGCTGGATATGGTATTTAATTGACTTATTTCATGCCTGAGAAGGTTTTCATACAACAAAATAGTCCCACAGGATGTCATTAATCATATTATTGTACCTTATTTAATCCTCACGAGGGAATAATAAACAAACACTTTTTAATTATGTTGTGTAACGATAATAAGCTTTATCAAAATTGCCGCTAGTTTCTATGTTTGTTTTTCAAATGATAATTTTCTTCATAAAAAGTTTGCAGTAGGAAATTTAGGAAAGTCTTACTCCTGACGTCGTTAGGCGTGCATGTGGAACCGAGAATTCAGCACTACTGCTCTAAGCGCATGCTAAAGAAGTCAAAAAATGAGACCATGTATTGTAAAAAAACACTACTTACCCTTGAATATGTAATAAAAATTTTGCTTGATGAGAAAAATATAATTAAAACATAGAGAGTTTTTAAAGCCCGATGATCCCACTCTTTGACCCCTTGAGCATTTGCTTAAAGCAGTAGTACGGAACTCTTAAGGCATGTATTAAAGGGCTATATATAAGTATTACTATTCAAGGGACATATGTAGATATAGCCCAAAGCAGAAAAGTTAGAAACCCTAGGACAAACCCTAGACACAATCACTGGTCAATTAGGAGTTAGAAACCCTAGCACAAACGCTAGCCAAGTTGGAGTTAGAAACCCTAGCACAGATGCCTAGACAAGTTAGGGCTAGAAACCCTAGCAAAAACTGCAGACAAGTTGGAGTTAGAAACCCTAGCACAGATGCCTAAACAAGTTAGGGCTAGAAACCCTAGCAAAAACTGCAGACAAGATAGGGTTAGAAACCCAACAAGCACAAACCCCATACGAGTTAGAGTTAGAAACCCTGGCACAAGCCCCAGACAAGTTAGGGTTAGAAACCCTAGCACAAACCGCAGACAAGTTAGGGTTAGAAACCCTAGCACAATCCCCAGACAAATTACGGTTAGAAACCCTAGCATAAACACTAGACAAGTTAGGGTTAGAAACCCTAGCACAAACGCCTACGGAAGCTACGTTTAGAAACCCTAGCACTATCCCTAGGCAAGTTATGGTTAAAAAACCCTAGCACAATCTCTAGCCATGTTGGAGTTAGAAACACTAGCACTATCCCTTGCCAAGTTGGGGTTAGAAATCCTAGCACAAACCACAGACACGGTAGGTTAAAAACCCTAGAACAAGCCCCAGACAAGTTAGGGTTAGAAACCCCAGCACAAAACCTAGATAAGTTTGAGTTAGAAAGCCTGGCACAAGCCCTAGCCAAAGTCGGAGTTAGAAACCCTAGCACAAACAATAGACAAGTTAGTGTTAGATTCCCTAGCAAGCCTTAGCCAAAGTCGGAGTTAGAAACCCTAGCACTATCCGTAGCCAAGTTGGAGTTAGAAACCCTGGCACAAACGCCTAAACAGGTTAGGGTTAGAAACCCTAGCACAATCTCTAGCCAAGTTGATATTAGAAACCCAAGCATAAACGCTAGCCAAGTTGGAGTTAGAAACCCTTGCACGAATGCCTAGACAAGTTAGGGTTAGAAACCCTAGCACTATACGTATAATCTCTATCCCTAGCCAAGTTGGAATTAGAAACCCTAGCACAAACGCTTAGACAAGTTAGGGTTAGAAACCCTAGTACTATACGTATAACCTCTATCCCTAGCCAAGTTGGAATTAGAAACCCTAGCACAAACGCTTAGACAATTTAGGGTTAGAAACCCTAGCACAATCTCTAGCCAAGTTGGGGTTACGTTAGACAACAGGACTTCATAGCGATAAGATAATTCCACTCCACTCCACTCCACTCCACTCCACTCCACTCCACTCCACTCCACTCCACTTCCCACGATGCCATATCCCCCAGACATCCTCAGATATGAGGCTTCGTGTGGACTTTGGACTTGACGGCAATTAAATCCTTCTGCCATCGTTTGTACGGATTACGCAAGATGATGTTTTACTGCGAAGCATCAGAAAAGAGACTAGCCGGCCTCAGACCATCAGACAGCTAATCACTTGAACTACCTGCAACGCACGGAATCGATGGAAAATTTGATGTTGAAAACTGAGTCTAGTATATATTGTGAATTGTTTTCAGGGCTATCGTTTTGCTAATTTCTTGGAATCGTGGCTCAGTGGAAAAAACTTGAGCTTCCAAGGCGATGAGTCATGTCCGGTTTGTACGTGGATCTGATCAACCATTTAGTTATGTATTATATTTTTAGTTTTTTTCAAATTCAAACTATTTAGAAGTTTGTTGTTCTTTCTCACAATTTCTGAAGGTGTAACTCATTTCTATTTACCTATCTTTCTTTTTAGCCGTTTTCCATCTAGCAAGCTTCTAGCACCTTTTGTACGACAGTATGCAGCAGTAACGATGATTCAACATTTTTGTAAAATGCATTGTAGGTGCCGGCGGGCAGTCATTCAAACTGACTTTGAGAACTGGATTACCGCTGTTCAGTCGAAGGCTGCGTCTCTTCAAATTGGATAGCGACAAAATAAAAAGATAAAATGATTCAAACCTGACAAAGTCAACGAAGTACAGTGTATAATGTTTTGCTGTCCTTATATTAGTTAACTTGCACGGCTCCCTGTTCAAGAAGAAAGATAGTAAACCCTTTGATTTGTAACCAATTTATACCCAGTGTTTAGTGTCTGCAAATAAGCTCAGTCTACCAAACATCGAAAAGCCGGAGACGTACAAGTTATTCGAACTTGAAAAAATTAATACACTGTATCAGCTCAATCTGGAACCCCGCGTTAGGGGTCGTTCAGGGCTCGCGGGGGTTGGTATTTTACCCTAAACAAACAATCTTGGGGGTATTCGCAGCCTAATAACCTTGTATTCTGCTAGGCGGAAATCTGTTCAGACTAGTGCTGGTGATTCACTTTACTCGGTTATAGTTAATGATAATTTGGAACAGCCTTGTTGTTGGGATCATTGAGTACTACTGCGTTAGCTGTTCCCTCACGGTATGTTTGTCTTGCCTTTGTTTTATATATCTTTGATTTACCCTTTATTTGGTTAAGTGAAAGTTTTCAGTAAAATAAGTTTAAGTTCATTGGTGTGCCATGCTGGGCTTGAAAAGGTAAGTGGACACTTGCTGGGACGCAAGGATTGGACGGAGATATGACGTCTGATCTGTTGGCAGAGCTCATATCTCTTCAACCTAATTACCAATTATTCGCGAAGGCGAATAATTGCTCATATTTCAACTGGGTCGCGGTAAAAAGCTGAAACGGAAACAGCGGAAAGCTGAAAGAGCTGAAAGAGCTGAAAGAGCTGAAAG